GAGCCTGGCAGAAACTGCATGGAGCATGAAAATATATAATTATACCACTGCATCGAGAGTGGCGTCTCCTTTATTACATCTTGGTTGGATTCACTGCTCATGTAAAAATCCCTGGCTTTCATGAGTCCATCTATAAGGGAGACAGCACGGTCTACCATAACATTTGGTTGGTTTGTCGAGGAAACATCTCGAGAACTCTTGAATTCTCCAATCCCGCCTTCAACCGATGTGCCAGCATTCCGTGGGCTCCCCCGAATTAGCACAGCGTATGACGTCACAGGTTGTGAAGGAATGATGTCTTCGTGGAAATATATTTCATCATGGCGGATACCGAATGTGTCCCCGTGATTGGCTGGTGCATACCAACAGTTGTGCACAGGGTCTCTGGAGTGTTGTTCGTACATCCTGATATAGAAAAACATGTGTTAGGGGTATTTGCACATCTTATGTTGGATTGATATGTGAAAATAAAGCATTTTTATAAGGAAAGACTATTTACTATCTATCAACGAAAATAGGATAATAAGGCAGCAGTTATGAATATAAGCAAGGATCTGCTAATTGTGGCAAGCCTGGAAAAACGTAGTCTGTGTTGCAGACGGAAATTTCCGGCAACATGTAGCGTCTGCTACGCAGACTAGAAAAAACGTAGCGAGGCTCCTCATTTTCATAGCCTTGGTCAATTTTGATCCAGCATTCAGGTGGGTGAAAATGTTGTAACCGTTTGATCCCAGGCCCCTGTTAGGGTATGTCGCAGGAGCAGTTGATCCAATTCAACCTTTCACCCAACGTGCACCAACTGCATGCATGGAACAGTTCACCAAGGTGCGTCCACTTGGCCACTAAAGCATCTCACGCCAAGGCATAATACAGCGTAGACCGAAAGATCAAAATCTTGGACCAATTGTCACGATTGGTTCTAAATTGTATCTAAATGTCAAGATACGTCTTTTCTGATTGAGTTGAGAACCTGCACCTGTTATAAGAACCAATCAGGGTTTAGCAAATGTAAAACTACAAAACGAAGCAAACGTAAGCCTACAAAAGAAACATAATTACTTGGAAATTTTACTGCTGTAGACATCTCTCGCAGCTTATAACTTCACAGTTTCCGTACCCACTTTCAAGGAAAAAAAAGTAGGAATGTGTGGCGTTGTAATGTCATTTACATTTAAACAAATCTATTCACAGCGAGATGCCGATTTAACCAACAGATTCCATGTTGCCGTGCGTCTGTTCACTAATGGATCACAGATGACGCCAAAGTGTGGTAAGAGCAAAAAAAGTGGCACAGGAGCCGTTAGGCTTGTATGCTACCAATGTTTTTACCACATTTTGACGTCATCTGTGATCTATTACTGAACAGACGCACGGCAACATGGAATCTATCTGTTGTATATAGTAAAGATCATATTACAAGCTCATTTTTGTCACCTCTTATGTACACGTTGAAGTCCCAAAATTCTACAGGTATACCGAACAAGACGTTTGTTGAAAGCACGCGTCCAACCAGATGAACAAGAGAGTGTTCGTCTTCTCACTAGAAAGTCTAAGAGACTTTTCAGCGGGGGAGGGTCGGGAATTGGTAGCTCTTCATCCCACTGTAGCACTCGTTTCTGCAAGTCTTGCTTCCCCAATGCATCCTATGAATGTGAAAATATTTCAATCGTTGTTAATATAACGTGAGTTTAAAAACCGGAAGGAACAAAACGTTACTTTGTTAGTTTGCTCTTTATTGAACTTATTTCTTAGAGCTTTATAGTGTGCTGGTTTTTAAGGCCTAATGCCTGAATTCTGCCATAACGAATTTAATATTTTAACATTAATATTAATTGGGCTTTTTTTGTTGCACCCGTTGGCCGTAGCTTTTATAACTGAAATTTTAAAAATATTGAAATTAAAAATGATCTTGGGGAAAAACAAACTCTATGAATAGCTAAATGAAAATATAAATTAAAACATATAACTAAAAACGAGGAAAATATTGCGGTGAAGGATCTACAATCTTGGACAATTGAAACTGAGACCATCTCTGCCCCCATTTCAATGATCGAAAATAAAGTGGCGAGTTCATCACTGATTCGGGAGAGAGGTGGTTGTGTTTCTTATTTTATTCCGACCAAGATTAATTAGCCTTCAATTTTTTTTTTCATAATCTGTAACGTGACCGTGGGTACCGCGAAAAACGCGCGAAGGGAAAATGATCATATGTCTCGCGCGGCCATCTGTTCCTCTCGTGTTCCCCTCGTACTCTCATTCGTGACAAAAACAGGTTCTACGTATGCTCGCCCTCGCGCTCATGTATCATACACTCACTTCGTGTCTCATACTTCGTACTCGCCCCCGCCAGTCGTGATTGTGTATCGCACTCTTTTCGTACTTCTAGTTTCTCCCTCTCGCTCCCCTTTTGAACGCCTGCCACGCAGACTATCGCGCTCCGGGCTACTGCATTGTGACCTTTGTGGTCCTTTGAGTGTGCTGTATAAATTATCCTTCAACTGTGGTCTTCAATTCAGCCCTGACCTTAGACAGTAACACTGAATTGAAGTTAAACTTGCTTGCCTTAGTATCACTGGAGATTTGGCCTGCATCTTCTTCCAAGGAATGATCTTCGGGTTTTGTCACTGTGCATTGCAGTGAGGAAGAGGGCTTGATTCCATAAAACGCTCTTCTAAGCACAAAACGGGGATTTGATAATCGGTACATTGCCCTGGGATAGGTGTGTACCGCGGACTTCAAGGGAAAGTCCGCCTTAATCATAATCTATAAAAAGAACTGACATGGTGGATTTCACATCCGTTGATTCAGAGAAAAGGGATTGTGCAACGTAGATGTCACACTCTTGAAACCGGAACTTCTTACAGTTCGTACCAAAGGGGTTTTCCCTTTCGGTTCTCCGCTTCACAGCGTCGCCAACAACGTCATGTCACGCGCTTAGGAAGCTATTAAAAGTTCACTCGTTTTGCAAGAGACACAAAACGGATTAGTATCAATCCGAGAAAAAGAACTTTTCGGTTTATCTTTGAACCAGTTCTCTGATCAAGCATTACCATTGATAGCAAACAATTGCATCTGACTGTTTCAGTTTCCATATTTCACCTGAACGAAGCAGATTGCAGACATGGCGTTGAGCAAGACGAATATTGCAGTGGTTCTCCTGGTCGGCTTTGTCAATTATTTGGAATGGGCTGTAGTTATGACTTCAATATACCCATATATCCTTTCTGTGAGTATCTATGTCTTTGTTTGGTTTAGGATGTATTCAATTTGCAGAATTTGCTTGTGACGATTTCGTTCACTCTATGAAATTTTAAAAGCGTGCCGATCAAACTGGAAATGGTTTTCCACGTTCAAAAAGTATTTCTTTCTCCAAGTTTTCTGTTGGCGAGAAGCTTAACAATGTTTTCCAGATTAAATCTTAAGTGAAATTCGCTAAGAGAAAGTATTTTCAGGGAAACAAGACTCGATCTTGAAGATTCGACTGTGAAGTTTGCGAGGCGAAATGTGAATATTTATTGGCTACATGCTACATTTTAGCCATCGTTTTCCGATTTCGCGATTTTGCTTCAGAGTTTAAATACGTAACAGCTGTTACATAGTCTTATAAACTCCAACTTTTAGTTTACTCCCAAATGCAAACGATTAATGAACATCTTGCAAATGGTTTTCTTCGAAAACCTAGCGTGCCCCGAGATGTGCTCACGTTCAGTCACACAACCGGTTTGATTTTTCTGCTGGTATTTGCAGTATTTGTCACTAAAGTAAGTCGTTCGGGAAAATAAAGATAACAACAGCAACAACATCTTTTATTTAAACGCGGTGGTTTTTAAAGTTAATATAGCTTATGGGGCCGTGTAAAATATGTTAATAGGATAATAAAAAATTGAAAAAACGCAAAAAGATATGAATAAAATCAATAAAAGACGAAATCACTGTCAATTTGGGGACCCATTTGCGGTGACTCTTCGCTAAAGTTCAAGTTTCTGAGGGCGGGAGACTTTTTTTTTGTCCTTTTAGTATAATCTCTGGTGCTGACAGCGGATGGTTCCACAAGATTCCAAACAATGGATCCTCTGTATGATATAGAGTTTTTATATATAATTAGTTTCAAAACATTGTACGCTGACACGATGTTGATGACGGAGGTCATACTTAGACTCTTTCCTTTGGATTAAATGTTCCAAGCAGGATGGAATTGTGTGATTATAAATTTTATAAATTAAGGTGGCTATTTTGACCTTATAACTCAAGATATTCTATTTGAAGGAAATTATACGACAAAACAGGCAAGGAGTTAATCGAAGGTCATATCAGCACTGTAAATTGTCAGAAACTTTACCAGTAATCTTTTAGGCTAGTGAATTGTTTTAACCAGGATTTTAGTTAGGGGTAGTTGGTGACCTTCGAAAAACGCAGTGCATCAGTAGGATTTTCTTATTTACAATGTTTCCGTGTCTTCCATCCGTCAGATCTTTTGCTAACACTCGAAACCTCAAAGTTGGTCCCTCCGGTATGTATCTAGAGTAGGCTAACCACCTTTCTTCTTTCCAGCTATCTAAGAATAGATCTTCTGCCGTTGTATACCTCTCCTTGGCCCAGAGCTTATTTCCCTTGGGACAAGGAATCTCTCAGCCCCTAGCCAGCCTAATTGTCAAGAAACTCCGTCAAATCAAGATTGTTCTCGTAGCTTCTCTGATAATCGCCATTGGTGGAAATGT